TTGAAGAGACTTAGATTGAGGTCTGAGCTTGGTCCCATCCACCCGTTTACCTGCTGTTTCTTGATATCCCTGATCCTTGGTCTGTTCAATATTAAGAGGAGATAACAAAACTAGAACCATATAAAGGGTAAATAATAGAAGATAATATTTAAAACTTAGGGCTGGACTCACAGGAGACACTAACTACTACTCTTCTATGCTGCTTTATGTTCCAGATTGTTCTTCATTTAGTCACCCTGAATTGTTAGAAAAGTCTCTTCTACAGTTTTGACACAGAATATGTGGTCACACAACTAGTTCTTGGGCATGTTAGGATTTCCATTCCCTACCTGTTTCCAACTTTATTTTACTTGCTCTCCTACATCCAAAGCAGCCAGGGACAGTTCATCCCCCTTCAAGTCTTTACAACATTCTTTCATCTAGATGGCATTCTTCCTGGTACAAATAAAACAATAACCATGTGTTTCAATCCTCAGTGTAATTTTTGTCTCCTTCTAAGAAGTATTCTTGATCTCTTCTTCCTACAGTAAGCTCTCCTGATTTCTATTCCTTCCTTCTTTGCCTTTTTATCTATCTACTCATCCATATTTACTCATACTACTCAAAGAGCTAGCTACATACCAATGAACAAACAGAATTTTTACTTACACTCTAGTACAGAGAACCAGGTAACAAAATAATAAGTAAGTTCAGACAGACTTTAAATAAAGGAGTAAAGAAAATAAAATAAGGAAGGGAGACAGAAACAGAGTCAGAGAGAGATGGAGAGAGAGAGAATGTGTGTGTGTGTATATGTGTATGCGTTTGGGAGAAAGTGACGTGAATTTTAGACAGGCTAAGCTTACTGAGAATGTATCCTTCAAATGAAGGTCTGAAGAACATGAGTGAGCAACTTCAAAGATAGTCTGGGTTAGATATGGAAGCAAAAGGCTGATTAGAATGGGTCCAAGATACCCCAGTCTGGCTGGGCACAAATCACGAGCCACTCAAGCGAACAAACTTTATTTCTGAACTCCACCAGCACACTCCACACAGGCTCCCCGGGAACTCTCCCCAACGCCACCCACGTGGCTCCTCCAGGAACCACCAACCGGAAATCCCTCCTCCCGCACTTCCCCAACTAATGCGAACTCTCCAGGAATCCCCGTGAGAACTCCAAAGTAGCAGGCCTAAGCGGACAGTAAAGGTCTAATATACAATTGAATCAATCCAGCATCATCTTAATGGCTCGCCTCTCAACCATTACTTCTGGCAAAATGCTCTCAACACTAAGAGAGAACAGAAGCACAGAAACTAGAAACAGCAAATGTAGGCAACTCTTTAAAGCATTTTGCTATAAAGGTATGGAGAGAGGAAAAAGAGTGATGGTTGGGGAGAGAAGAGTGGTCAGAAAAAAGTTTTCTTCTATATTTTAAGAAGGGAGAGCAGGGATGGGGTTGTGACTCAGTAGTAGAGTGCTTGCCTAGCATGTGTGAGGGAGGGCCTGGGTTCAATCCTCAGCACCACATATAAATAAATAAAAATAAAGGTATTGTGTCCATCTATAACTTTAAAAAGTCTCCTTTTGAAAACAAAGAAAGGAGAGAAAACAATACATTTCTTTGCTGCAAAGTTTTATTTTATTTTTATTTTTTTGGTGCTGGGGATCAAACCCAGGCCCTCATGCATGCTCACTCTACCAGTGAGTCACAAACCCACCCCCAGCTAAAAGGTTTCAAATCCTTAATAAAACAGTAAAATCTAAAAAAGAGGGATAATACTTTGTACTTGTGTGAGGTCTCTGTAAAGTTCAAGGAATAAACAATACTTACAGAAGACCAAGCAGCAATTTATGAATTAATGCCATCAGTGACCTCTGAAGGGGGTATCATTGTACTCTTCATCCATCAGATCTGTTCTACAGATACCAATGGATATCACTAATCTTTTTGTTTTAAATATGTTTATTTATTTATTTATTTTTACGTGGTTCCGAGGATCAAACCAAGGACTCACACGTGCTAGGCGAAAGCTCTACCACTAAGTCACAACCCCAGCCCCGATATCACTAATCTTTTGGAGTCAAAAAAGAGAGATGAACAGAACTGGAAGATCCATACTCTATTTCTTCTCAGGAGATTGATCACATATGAGAATACATTCTTCAATCTCCTTTCAACAGATTTTGGTATAGAATGTTAGCAAAGGTTTCCAAAAGCAAATAAGTTGATATGCTCAAAGAAAAAGATTGAGGAATAGAAAAGGGATTTCTAGCCAGGCACAGGGGCATACTCCTATAATCCCAGCAACTTGGGAAGCTGGGGCAGGAAAGATCACAAAGTCAAAGCCAGCCTCAGCAATTTAATGAGGCCCTAAGCAGCTAAGCAAGACCCTGTCTCAAAATAAAAATTAAATAGTGCTAGGGATATGGCTCAGTATTTAAGGGCCCCTGGTTTCAATCTAGTACCAAAATAATAATAATAATAATAATAATAATAATAATAATAATAATAATAATAATAGAATTCCTAGCCTTACAAGATAATAAATAAATTATATGACAATTTAATATCAAGAAACTTTCCCAAAAGAATATAAAACAATGATATAAATGCTTACTCAGCAATTTTGAAACACATTAACAACCAAATAAATCCTACCTGTAACAAAGTCATTTTTCAGAAAATATATTTCTCAGCTCTATGAAAAATGGGTGAGATTCTTAGCTTAGAAGCAATAATTTTTAAAAAATATATATATTTTTTTAAGTTGCAGTTGGACAGAATATCTTTAGTTATTTATTTATTTTTAAATATTTCATTTGTTTTTATTTTATTTTTTTTATGTGGTGCCAGGAATTAAACCCTGTGCCTCACTCATGAGAGGCAAGTGCTTTACCACTGTGCCACAACCCCGACCCTCTTTATTTATTTTTATGTGGTGCTGAGGATTGAACCCAGTGTCTCACATGTGTGAGACAGGAGCTCTACCAATGAGCTACAAAAAATGTAAATTTTTAATAGATATTAACTGAATGCCTTCTATATACCAGGCAGTATTTGATATACTCTTTTTTTTTTTTTTTTTTGAGAGGAAAGAGAGAGAGAGAGAGAAGAGAGAGAGAATTTTTTAATGTTTATTTTTCAGTTTTCGGCGGACACAACATCTTTATTTCATTCTATGTGGTGCTGAACCCAGCGCCCCGCGCATGCCAGGCGAGCGCGCTACCACTTGAGCCACATCCCCAGTCCCTTGATATACTCTTTTTGTTTTGTTTGGTTGCAGTACTAGGGACTGAACTCAGGGATACTCCACCATTGAACTATATTCCTAGCCCTTTCTAATTTTTATTTTGAGACTGGGTCTGTAAGTTGCCCAGGCTGGTCTAAATTTATAATCTGCTTCAACCTCTCAAGTAGAGTATGTGCTTAAAACACACAAGGCTCTGAATTCAACTTCTAGCACCAAAAACAAATAGTAGGGGCTGGGGATGTGGCTCAAGCGGTAGCGCGCCCGCCTGGCATGCATGCGGCCTGGGTTCGATCCTCAGCAACACATACAAACAAAGATGTTGTGTCCGCGGTGAACTAAAAAATAAATATTAAAAAAAAATTCTCTCTCTCAAAAAAAATAGTAATAATAAAATTAATATTAAAATTAGTAGCATGACTAACCAGGAAAATTTTTGATTAAAAATTTTCAAAAGGGAGCTGGGTGCAGTGGCAAAAGAATATTTATAATAGTATTTTATTAACTTAAAAAAAGTTTCTAGGCATAGTGGTGCATGCCTGTAATCCCAGCAGCTAAGAAGGCTGAGGCAGGAGGACTTTGAGTTCAAAGTCAGTCTCAGCAAAAGCAAGGTGGTAGGCAACTCAGTGAAACCCTGTCTCTAAATAAATAGGCTGGGGATGTGGCTCAGTGGCTGAGTACCCAAGTTCAATCCCTGGTACCCACCCCCCAAAAGATTTTTTTCAAAAGGGGTCTGGGGATGTAGGTCATTGGTACAGTGCTTGCCTAACATGCATGAGGACCTGAGTTCAATCCCCAGCACTGCAAAGAAAGAAAGAAAAAAATTATCAGAAGAGCCAGGCATGGTGGCACATACCAGTAATCCTACTGACTTTGGAGGCTGAGACAGGAGGATTGCAAGTTCAAGATAGCCTTGGCCACTTAGAGAAACCTTGTCTCAAACTAAAAACTAAAAAAGGGTTGGAGATGTAACTCAGTTTTACAGCACCCCTCAGTTCAATCTCCAGTATTGAAAAACAATTTTTTCCAAACGGTTAAAAATCTGGAAAATTTATTCCAAATCTAATTAAAATATAATCTGGTATAATCTGGACCATAATAGACAAAAGGGAAAATAATACCAAACTAGTCCCATACAAGAAAATACAAAAAGATTTCTCATATTTGGAACGCATTCATTTTTGCTAAAAACCAAAGAAATGATCTTAGGTACTATTTTATATACGAATTCCATATTATTGAGATGGGTGGTTGAAAAGAGACATAAGCAGGTTACCTTTATCCTGCAACCTAATTTGTAGATGATCTCTAAAGCAAGATACAGAAAAAACTAAAGCAATGTTTAGTCTCAGACCAGAGAATGCCACTTAAAAGCATTATAACTGAAGAAATAATTCAAATGATTCTAAAAGTGTAACAGAAGCTATAGTAAGATAATCCAGAATACCAGAAATAGTGACATGTGAAATAGTTTTTAGAGATTCTAATTATAAACATGGATTACAAAATAAATAAACATAATTATAAAATTATAAACTGTTAACAAAATAAATTCTAGGAGACAACCACAGCAATTATAACAATATAAAAATTTTACATATACATTCAGAACTTAAAATGAAAATGAAATGAAGGAATCATAGATAATTTTAATTTTAGTCTAACATTTTATAATGCTTATCTTTTTATTTAAAAGGTGAGTTTATTTTCACTTAAAATATTACTATATGAAAACAGCATTTTAGTAGTATATAATAAAAGAGAACACATACCTGATACTCGTCTACTAAATCTGCTAGGAACTGGAACTGCAAAACAAAAAAGCAACATTTAGTTGTCATTATGTCATGTGCCCATTCTTATACCCCCACCCCGCTTTTATTTTAAATATTTTTTACTTGTAGATGGATACGATATTTTTATTTTTACTTGTTTATTTTTATGTGGTGCTGAGGATCGAACCCAGGGTCTCATGCATGAAGAGGAAGTACTTTACCACTGAGCTACAACCCCAGACCTTATCCTCCCCTTTTTGCAAAAATCTCTGACAACAAAACTATGTATCTTAAAAATCAAGTTGTGGGTCAGTTCATACTCTTTCATATTTAACCACAAACAACTGTTCAATATGATCATATAAAGACAATACAGAAAATAAAATATCTCCTTAAAAAAAGTTCTTTATAACTTCAACATACTTTTTTTTTTAAAGAGAGAGTGAGAGACAGAGACAGAGAGAGAGAGAGAGAGAGAGAGAGAATTTTTTAATATTTATTTATTTATTTTTTTTAGTTTTCGGCAGGCACAAAATCTTTGTTTGTATGTGGTGCTGAGGATCGAACCCGGGCCGCACGCATGCCAGGCGAGCGTGCTACCGCTTGAGCCACATCCCCAGCCCAACTTCAACATACTTAAAGCGGTAATTTTACTTCTGTTCACATTCATATTTCATCCAATTTTTATCATTCCATATAAGAAGTTTTCCAAATTTCCTGAAAGGTTATGGTACCAAGTAGTGAAAATTTCCTCTTTAATATTTTTTAAAGATAATCCTAGACTTGCTAAATCATAGAACACAAATTCCGTTTTTAAAGCAATTTAATCAGTATTACACTACAATTGAAAATAAACTGAGCATTAAGTTATACTTCTAGATATAGGTAGGTTTTTCTTCTGCTCATAGTCAGTATATTAATCAGAAAAATGTATCACATATCTTTATTTTTGGGGGAGAAAACCTTTCTCAGTTATTTTTTTCTACTTTTAACCCATCACATTATCTCTGGTGGTTATCTAAATTCCTATTGCTAAACTATATCATTTGCATAAGCCTTTTAATTTTTAATTTTTTTACTTTTGTGTTACTAGGGATCAAACTCAGGGCCTTGTACATGCTAGACAAATGCTCTACCACTCAGGTACATCCTGAGCCCTTTTATTATTTATTTTGAGATAGAATGTCACTAAGGCTAAGTTACCCAGGCTAGCCTCAAATTTGTGATTCTTCTGCCTCCACCTCCTGGTGCCCGACTGATTATTTTTATTTTTAAAAAATTATATATAGGGCTGGGGATGTGGCTTAAGCGGTAGCGTGCTCGCCTGGCATGCGTGCGGCCCGGGTTCAATTCTCAGCACCACATACCAACAAAGATGTTGTGTCCGCCGAAAACTAAAAAATAAATATTAAAAAAAATTCTCTCTCTCTCTTTTAAAAAAAAATTATATATATACACATACACACACACACACACACACACAGCTGGGCATGATGGTACACACCTGTAATCCCAGTAACTCAGGAGGCTGAGGCAGGAGGACTGCAAGTTAAAAGGGCAGCGTTGGCAACTTAGAGAGACCCTGTCTCAAAAAAGGGCTGAGGATGTAGCACAGTGGTACAAAGACCCCGGGTTCAATTCCCAGTAGAAATAGACAAATATAAATGAATGAATGACCAAATGAATGAATGAAGGGAATGAATAAAATAAACTGGGAATATAAAGGAATGTCCTCAACATAATAATGGCCATTTATTAAAAACCCACTTGATAAAGTTGCCAAGACCATTCAATGGGGAAGACAGTCTCTAAAAATACAGTGCTAGGAAAACTCAATCTCCTCATGCAAAAAACTGAGGTTGGACCCTTACTTCAGACAGTATTTTAAAAAAATTAACTCAAGCCAGGCACACTGGTGTATGCCTGTAATCCCAGAGGCTCAGAAGACTGAGGCAGGAGCCTCAGCAACTTAGCAAGGCCCTATCTCAAAATATTTTAAAAGGGCTGGGGATGTGGCTCAGTGATTAAGTGCCCTCTGGGTAGCAAAAAAAAAAAAAAAAAAAAATCATAAACTTGAAAACTAAAATTATAAAACTCTTAGAAAAAAAGATGAGAAAAATCCTGACGTCATATATAGGGAAAAAAAGAGATTCAATGAACTGCATCAAAATTAAAAACCTCTGTTCATCTAAGAACATAATCAACAGAACAAAAAGGCAAGCCATGGAATGGAAGAAAATTATTTGCAAATCAAATCAAATCTGAAATATGTAGACTAGAGGGGAGAAAAACCCTCACAGCTCAACAATAAAAAATCAAATAGGGCTGGGGCTATAGCTCAGTGGAAGAGTGCTTGCCTTGTACATGTGAGGCACTGGGTTCGATCCTGAGCACCTCATAAAAATAAATAAAGATATTGTATCCATCTACAAAAAAAAAAAAAGGCTAAGTGAATTAAAAAAAAAATCAAATAGTAGGGGAGGTAAAAATTATGTACTAAGGATTGAAACAGAAAATTATGCTAATATGCATTTATGAATATATCAAAATGAACTCCACTATTATGTATCATATTACAATATACTAAAAATAATTTTTAAAAATTTAAAAAGAACACAAACCAATTAAAACAGTGGGCAAAGGACCTGAACCAATATTTCTCCAAAGAAAATAAACAGATGGCCAACAAACACAGAAGATGCTCAACTTCACTAGGGAAATACTCAAATTCTAACTACAATGAAATGCCATTTTACACCCATTATTGGGATAACTACTATCATAAAAGAAAAGCAGGGGTATGTGGGGGTGCTAACAAGTATTGGCAAGAATGTGTTGCTGAGACAGGAGGATTGCAAATTCAAAGCTAGCCTCAGCAACACAGCAAGGCGCTAAGCAACTCGGTAATACAAAATAGGGCTAGGGATGTGGCTCAGTTGTCGAGTGCCCATGTTCAATCCTTGGTAACTGCCCCAACTCCATGTGGAAAAACTGAAACAAGTGCTGTTGGTGGGAATGTAAAAGTGGTACAGGCACTATGGAAAACAGTAACTCAGGCCCTAAGCAACTTAGTGAGACCTTTGATAATACAACGTGTATATGTTAAGGAGTATCCATTAAAAAAGGACTGGGGATGTGGCTCAGTGGTTAAGTGCCCCTGAGTTCAATCCCCAGTACCAAAAAAAAAAAAAAATGGGGGGGGGTGGTGAGGGGTTGGGGGATGTAGCTAGGTGGTACAGCACTTGCCTAAGCATGCACAAGGTCCTGGATTCAACCCCCAGCAACAAAAACAAACAAAACAACAATAAAACCCTGTTAATTAGAAAAAAGATAGAATGTGCAACTTTAACCTTAGCCAGGCATGGTGGTGAGCACTTGGGAGGCTGAAACATGAGGACCTCTTGAGTCTAGGACTTCGAGACCAGCCTGCACAACATAGAAAGACCACAACTCAAAAAAAAAAAAAAAAAAAAAGTGAAAGCAAGATCTCCAAGAGATATCTGTATACCTATGTTAATAGCAACATCATTCACAATAGGCAAAAGGTAAAAACAACAAAAGTTTCCATCAATGGATGAATAGATAAGTAAAATGTAGCATATATACACAATGGAACATCAGTCAACTTTTAAAAAGCAAGGAAATTCTGATATATGCTACAATGGATGAACCTTGAGGACATTAAGTGAAATAAGCCAGCCACAAAAAGAAATACTGTTGTGATTCCACTTATATGAGGTACCTACAAAAGTCAAATTCATAAAGAAAGAAAATAGAATAGTTCTTACCTAAGCAACTTAGTGAGACCCTTGATAATACAACGTGTATATGTTAAGGAGTATCCAATTAAAAAAGGACTGGGGATGTGGCTCAGTGGTTAAGTGCCCCTGAGTTCAATCCCCAGGGGATTACCAGGGGATAGGGGAAGAGGGGAATGGCGAATTGTTTATGGGCATAGTGCTTCAGTTTTACAACATGAAAAGAATTCTAGAGATAGATGGTGATGATGGTTGCACAACATTAATGCCAATCAATTGCATACTTAAAAATGATAAAGATGAGCTGGGCATAGTGATGCATGCCTGTGATCACAGCAACTCAGGAGAGCAGGAGGATCACAAGTTCAAAGCCACATCAACAACTTAGCAAAGCCGTAAGCAATTTAGTGAGACCTTATCTCAAGATAAAAAAAAAAAATTAAAAAGGACTGGGGGAGCTAGGGATATAGCTCAGTTGGTAGAGTGTCTGTCTTGCATGTACAAGGTCCTAGGTTCAATCCCCAGCAACACACACACACACACACACACATACACACACACAACTGAGGACCTGGCTCAGTGTAAGTGCCTCTGGGTTCAAACCCTGGTACAAAAAAAAAAAAAGGTAATATTTTAAATTTTATATTATATTTCACAATTAATTTTTTAAAATATATAAATTAAAACTTGATAATACAACGTGTACATGTTAAGGAGTATCCATAAAGAGAATGAAAGAGAAAGCAAATGTGGCAAAATATTAATGAGTGTAATTTAGGAGTTCACTGTTCTTAATGGGGTTGAAGTTTTTCCAAAAAATATTTTAAAAATCTTTGTAAATATACATCCTCAAATCAAATATGATAAAATTTCATTTTTATTCTATTGTCAAATCATGTTTATAACAAATTCAAAGTTGAGTGCATGAATTATTTAAGTATTTATAGTTGTAGATGGATACAATACTTTTATTTTATTCATTTATTTTTACCTAGGCTGCTGAGGATTGAACCCATTGCCTCACATGTGCTAGGCAAGCACTCTACCACTGGGCTACAACCCCAGCCTACATGCATTCTTCTTTAAAGTAAATTAATTTGTTGAAATTTGCTTAATTTTATAATACACTGACTTAAAATTTTTAAATGGCAAACCTATTCATCACTATTAAGTTAAAAGGTTATAATCACTATTTAAATTTATCATGCATAAGACAACAAAAAATTGTTTTGAAAATTCCTAAAGCATTATCTGTTTCTGTGAAATTAGTTCAAA